TTTAAATTGGAAAAAATGAAATATAAAGTTCTTATTCAAAAAACTATAATAAATAAGCATATTTACTAAAAATGATAAAAAGAATAAATTTATAATTATTTATAAAAAAAAAAACATTATGATAGAGAAAAATGGTTTTTTACTAAATAAATAAATTTTAAATCCTCAAATAAATGCCCCATTCAACATTAAATAATCCAATAAAGGTGGACATGGCATAAAATCAATCAACCAACATTATAAAAGGATAGGGAATTGCTACAATGGTATATTATATGAAACACAATTTAATAAGTTTATAATGCTTAAATTTAATTTAATTTTTAAAATTTTATAAATAAAATTTATGCATTTTACAAGGTCATCTGATTTAGAAAAAAACACAAAAAAAAAATTTTTTCAGAAATCTTCTAATCTGCAATTTAATTTATTTTTTATTTTTTTTTAGTTTGTTTTTTTCAAAAAAAATTTTTTCAACATTTATGTGAAGATGGAAAAATTTTTTTTTATCCAAATTTGAGGAATGTCCATAGACAATTAAAACTTTGAGGAAAAATTTTTAAAAACATGAAAAAAAGGAGAGAATCAGAAAAATCATTAAAAAGTTATTTTTCCAACAAAACAAGATTTTGATAAATTTACTATTTTAAATTCATTTAAAAAACATTTTGAAAATTTTGAAATTTACATCTGATTTCATGAAATTAAGAAATGCCAATGAAAGAAAAAATGAAATGATTTTCAATTTTCATTTAGAGAAAAGAAGCCAATGAGAAAGAGAATAAATATAAATAAGAGATTACAGACAATTTAATGAAAGAAAATAAATTTTTTAAAAAAATTATTTTTCAAAAAACAATGGTTGAAAAAAACTCATGAGAAATTCATAAATTATAAAAATATTTTATTTTTATTTATTTATAAAAAGAAATGATTTGAATAAAGCCAATTTTTCATTATTTTTAAGAAATATAAATGAGTTGAGATTTAAAATGTAGAAATTTTCATATTTTTAAAATCCTGGAAAAAAAAAGAGAATTCAAATAATTAAAAAAGAAAAGAAAAATTCAAAAAAGATTTTATTAATTTCCCAGTAAATTGGAAAATTTGAAAATTTAAATTTAAAATGTTAAAAGAATTACCAAATGCCAAGAGATTTATTGAAATGAAACAATATTTTAAGACATTTATGAAAAGATAAAAAAAAATTTTAAAATCAATGAAAGAGAAAAAAAAAATTTTATCTAAATCTCATTGAATAAACAAAATTTCTGAGAAAATTTTTATAATTTAAAATTTATTTCAAATATATAAATAGAAAAATTTTTTATTTTTAAAAATAATTCTTTAATTGAATCAACTAAATTATAACCATTTTAAAGATCAACTTAATTGAATGAGAAAAAGTCAGGTGCTTTTCAAAAATATGCAATCAGCTAATTTAAAAAAGATTGAAAAAGATATTGAGAATCAATTTGAAAATGTCACAACTAAAAACCTAATGAAAAAACATTCAAAAAAAGAAATTTTTTAAATTTTATTTTTAAATTTTTTTTCTTTTTAAATATATAAAATGTCATTCATATCTAAAAAATGAAAAAAAAATTTTTATTAAAATGAATCAAAATTTTTTTAGATTTTTTTTTAAATTTATTGAAAATGAATCTTCAAAAAAAAAAATTTTAAATCCATCTCTCCAGTCCATGTGAATGTCTTTAATGGTATTTTAATAATATGAATGTATTTAAATTTCACACAGCAATATAGATTACCAGATGAAAATCTTCAAATTTTGAAATCAAAAATAGTTTGAAAAAAAAAAAATAATAAATAAAAACAGAAACAAAGGAGTTAAAAATAAATTGAAGAAAAGACTTTAGAAGGAACTGGAAATTCCAATTTATTTTAATCCAAAACCAGGAATAAAAAAGACCAGGAAAAATATGAACCAGATGATAGGTAAAACATTTCTATTACTGAAAGTGAGAATATATAAATAAAAATTAAAAAAGAAATGCCAAATCAATTTTGGCAAAGACATTATTTAAATATAATAGTTGAAATTTTTATTTAAAAAAATTAAAAAGAAATCCTAAATGAAAAATAAAAGAAAAAATCATTTATATCCTATTCAAACAACCAGCAACAAAAAAAAAAAACAATAGGCAAACATATCTATTCCTACTTTCAACACAGTCAAACAAGACTTTTGCATTTTATATTGTGAAAAAAATTTCAAAAAATGCACCATTAATAAAAATTTGAACAAAATATGACAAAAAAGTTGTTTTCAAAAAGGATTTTTTGTTAATAAAAAAAATCTGGAAAAAACATCAGTATCAAAATTTTTTTCAATGACAGTTTGGTTTCAAAAAAAATTTTCAAATGACATTCTACAAACTGCACATTGCAATTCAGGAAAAAAAAAACAAAATTTTCAAAATGAAAATTTTGTTTTGATATGCAAAAAACTTTAAGATGAGCCTGAGGAAATAGAACAAGAATTCTGGTCTATGTCTATTTTATAATTATAATCATTGAAAATTATTTAAAACCCAGGTTGTGTGTGTGTTGTGTGTTTTTTTTTTTTATTTTTATAAATTGTAAAATTTTAAACCAATTTCAAAACTTCACATTTTTAGGCATATATTGTTTCTTATTGTCTTGCACATTTTTTTTTTTTTTTTTTACATTCAAAATGTTAAAAAATTCAATTTACAAGACATTTGTTTATAATCAAATTCTATTCAATCAGTAGAATAACAATTATAAAAAAATTTTTTTTTTAAGTTTGGGTAAAAAACATTAAAAAAAAAAAAAAAAAAAAAAAAAAAATAAAAAGAAATGTGTGTCCGTCATGATTTAATTAAAAAATAAATTTTTGTCAATTTTATTTTTCAGTCTTTATGATTTTTAAAAATTTTTCTTTCTTTTTTTTGTTATATCTAAAAGCAATCCAATTTCTACTAAAATATTATATTATCAAAAATTTTGTTGCATGTTTGACAAAATATAATGATTTTCAAATAATTTTTAACATGTGATTTGACAGACGGTATGCATATTGAAAATTTGTGAAATTGTTCATAAAATCCACCTATCTTTAATTAAAAAATTCAAAATTTTTAACTTAATAAATCTTATTTTGCTCAATGAAATAATCATGAAATACAACAGTTTCAAAAGAACATGTTATTGTTTTTTTGTCTGAAATTTATATCTCAAATGATATATTTTTTAAATATTTTTCTTTTTTTTTTTACTGTCTATGAACTGAAGCAGACAATTAAATTTTTTGAGAGACATATCAATAGCAGGTTTGGAAAAAATTTTTCAGCTTTTGGGTAAAATAAAAAGAAAAAAAAAACAAAAAGATTGAGCATGTATGCTCTGAAAATTCCAAAAATTTAGATTAATCTTGCAAACTTCAAAAAAGATTGCCAATGTTTTCATTAAAATTAGCACTGTACAAAAGACACATATTCAATAGAAAAATTAGTAACAATCTTTTAATTCACCAAAGATTTTTCAATGTTGTCTTCATCTTTTTTTAGAGACTTTATGAACATTCCTGGAATTATTTACATTTTCTTTCAAGAACATTTCTCAAAATTTTCAAAATGTTCCTGATAAAATAAATATCAATTTGTACAAAACTTTTAGTTTGTTTTTTTTAATTTTAAAACCAACTCAACACTTTTACTTTTTGTTCATTAACCTCATGACACCATTCTCAATTTCAAATGATGACTTCTAACCTAATAACAATGTTAAATGTTTAACATCTGCTACAAGCTAATGACAGGATAAATAAAATTTTTTAAAAATAAAAAAAGCTTTTGTTTGTTGGAGGAAATATTCATTTTTTTTAAGACAGATGTATATAGATAACTGTAAGTTGACTTTTTTGTAAAAAGGAAGTAAGACCAGTTTGAATATAAAGTTCCATTGAAAGATTTTATATCAACATCACAAAATTAAAGTTTAACAACCTTTCTGAAAATTAGTGATTCTCTACAAATAATCATTAAAATCTTTCAAATTATTATTTTGCTGTAACAATACAAAAATAAAACTTGAATAAAAAACCATTTTTAGACAAAAAAATATGAAAAAAATTTTTAAAAAAAAAAACTTGTACAGAAATTAAATTCAATTTATTCTATTTTTTAAAAATTAATTACCATGTAAGCCATTTGATAAGCTAAATTAATACTTCTGCAGTTATGGACATATTTATATATTTTACAAATTAACTACTTTTTTGTTGATGTGTGTTTATATATATATATATATATATATATATATACACACACATTACACACACACACATTTTGAAGATGAAATGTTTATTATTTTTGATTGTGGTTGTTTTTTTTTTTAATGGCATATCAACAACTATGGGTTATTTAATGCCAAAATCTAGATATTTTGTAGATAATTTTATTTTTGGAGATTTTTTTAGTAATACAATTTTAATTAACCCATAGCTTGGGCTCCCCCCATCTGTATTATGGGCTTAATTAACAGAACTTGTATTATTTAACCATTATTATTATTTCCAAAATGTTCTTACAATCCAAAAATATTTTCTGGTTTGAAATAACTTGCAAAAGGTTGATAAGCCATAGAAAACAAATCAATCAATCATTTATTAAAAAAAAAAATATTTTCCAAATATCAAAAATTGCAAATATGTATAACGTTAAATAAGTTCCAAGCGAGATGATTTCAATGAAACCATTTCAGATTTCAAGTAATTGTCCATCTTTTGAAAAGTATATTTTGTTTAATTTATACCTGAGAAGTGGCTTCAAGAAGCTATGGTTAAGAAGTGTTGGGATTTATTTCTTTAAAAACATTTTAAAAAATAAACAATGAGCAGAAAGAGAATGATCATCTGTTCTTTATGAAGCTTCTTTATTAAAAATAAATGTCAAAAAGAGAAATTCTGTTAATTGAAGTACAAGCAAACGTTGGGACAGCAATATGCAAAATACTTACAGGTCATTGCAAATGCAGATGATAGGACGGTAAAGCAAGCATTTTTCCTTCTTTTTACCAGTTTGACCCTCTTTAAGCATGTTCAAAAGGATATTGATTGATGCCTACAAAACCAAAACATTTCATGCAATGGTTACTGCTTATTTACATCTATGCAGATGAAACCAGTTTTCATTCTAATTATTCAGACAGATCTTTCAACAAATAAAAATTTAAATTTCAATAACTATTTATTTAATATATTGATAAAACAGGTAATGGCTAATAATATGAGATGTGTGTGTGTGCATATATTATATTCAATAATATGGTGTTATATGACAAATGGCCACAACTATCAGCTTCATATGTGTTAGAAGCATAAGCATTAGTCAACTGGTGATGGTTTCTGATGCGATGAGCATTTATTCACGTCTCAGTTAATCCAAGATTTTACATTAAAAGTAGTTGGTATTTACACAAAATACACACATCAGCCCAAATTATCAAAGTGGAAAAGTATCCATATGGCCAAATATGGGTACTGCTTATGTTCCAGGCTAGCAAAGGTTTTACTGCCAGTAAGGGGGAAAAATAGACATATCTAACACATGAAAATTATAGTTGTGGCCAACTATCACATAACACTATATTATTGAAAATAGTATTTTACTCTATCATTTGGGTACAGAGCACTATTTTGGTGTATCAGCAAACTTCCTTTAGGAGTGCTTCTCATTTTTATATATACTTGGATTAATGTGAGTTGGCAACCCTGGGTTTCACGCTCTCTGTGATCATCAGACAATCACAGAGAGCATGAAATCCAGGGTCACAAACTCACATCAGTCCAATTAAATATTAGCTCTATCACTGATATTGAGTGCTTTCCAATAACTAACGCATATATATATATATATATATATATATATATATATATATATATGCACACACACACATCAAATATATTTTTAGAATTATAGTGTAGGTAGAATAGTCAGGTATGAATAGACTTTTCATTCATATTAGATATGCAGTCCTCAGGCAGCTAGTAACAGTCATAGTTATCAACAGTTTATCCTGCCATTAAATTCGAATTTGTTTAAATTTCATAGTTGTGTTGTTATATCCTGCTATGGCAACAGAAAACACTTTTGAGTGAAATTAACAATAAGGATACTGCTGCAATTGAGAGGCCTTGAAAAAGAATTCAATAGAAGTGGAAGTAATATCAATAATGCAGAGTGCACCAAAAATTCATCCAAACAAGTTTTGTTAAATTCAACCAACAAGGCCTGTATGTTTAATTTTAGTTTTTGGATTTTTCCAATTTTCAAAGAAGATATATCAGAATCAAAATTGTGGATAAGCTGTTGAAAGTTCAAGTTTTGTTGTTTTTGTTCAAATTTTAAAATTAGAAAAATACAATTAAAAATTAAACAAACCTTGTCAGTTGAATTTAACAAAACCTGAAGTGAATAATTTCAGGTTTAGTGAAAAGAACAAGTTTACAAATTAAATTTGAGAGTAAAATTAAAACTTTAATCAAATTTATAATCAATATTATAAAATATTACCTGCCTAGGTTAATTAATAAAAAAAAGTTATCCATGTCCTAAAACCAACTTTTTAAGTAAATCAATTTATAATATATGTTGACTACTTCAAGAAATATAAGAGTTAAATGACAAATCTGCTCAGCACCTGTCAATATAGATTAATCAACTAGAACCTAAAATCGGCACTTAAAATGTACTGAAACATTAAAAGACAACCTTTCACATATATAATTATAATACTAAATCTGATTTTGAAAAGGTGAAAAATATCCTAGTTGGTTGAAATATAGAATTTCATTCTACAAAAACTCTTTCAAGTTAGTCATTCAAATTTATTAGATAAGAAAGAAGGCTGACTAAAAATACAAATTGTTGTATATTCACAATAGACTATTCAACTCTTCATTAGTACCAAACACCCTCACAAAATGTTTTTCATTAATATTTAGCAAGTATCTTTAACATCTAGTAAGTCAAATTTTCATGATTAGTCAAATAGCTTTCTGAATAATGTAATCAAGTAAGCAGAAAGAGTTTCTGGTTTTAGTTATAATATCTATACCAGCATATGACCTTAAAATAAAAGCTATCTGTAATAATTGTGGTAGAAACATATGCAAATATTACAGTAACCTTTTTGTTCATAGAATGTGAAAAAAATGAAGATGAGTCAGGAGGATCATATATTGTTTTAAAAGATCATACTGAAAATAAAATGAAACCTATTTTGGCATATTTTAATATTGGCCTTTCAATTCAATTTTTCAAAATAAAACCCTAGTTTATCAGGTTCAATGTTTGTTGCAACTGTAGTGTCTTTAAATATAGTAGCAGTAGAAGCTCTAAATAAAACTTATCAGCAGCAGCTCTCGAATATAAAAACATGTGAACCCTAAAGTAACTTCCTCTTTTCCAGGTTTTCCCTCTTTCAAAATGCTGACATGCAATTTCCACACTGAAGTTAAAAGGGCTGTAAAATGCTTTACCCATAAAATACACCAACAAAATAAGTTCCCACTATAACATGTTAATGAACATTTTGTTGTGTATACAATTTACATCTAACAAAAGAAATTCTTGTCTTAAACTTTACTTTTGCTAATTTTGTTTTAATAAATATTACCTATACATTGCCAAATCAATTGATCTGTTATTTTGTGAATGCCCTCTTTACGCCAACTTTATTTCATGTGCTACAAAATGTTCCCGTAAGATATCTTACGCATTTATTTAGTGAAGTACCTAATCACTAAACAAGGAACATTTTCTTTAATAAAACTTCTGATCTCTAGACCAGTAGACATTAATTTCCCTGTATAAAATTAAAAAACAGGAATGTCTATTCAAACACATATACCCACTAAATATAATAAGAAATCATCATGTCTTAAAAAATTCATTAATGGCTTAAAAATTCACCACTTTTACATACATACATACATATGATACTTAAACCTTAGTTTTAGTGGATAACCATATTTGAGTAGATACTATTTATTAAACAGTATATTTATTTATTTTCGTCTACCAGCCTGAATATAAAAAATTTTTATTAAAGGAAAATAAGTGCTCTCCAGCATGATTCAGATCTGTGTCCCTCTGAGAAGGGGAAACTGTCATAAAATCTGACATGCTTTAGACCTCTCAGCCACAAAGTACATCAATGATCAAGCAAAGTTGAATAGTGTTTTTAAACGCAAATCTTTTCAGGATTCTCATAATATACATATCTGCTTAGTTTCATATCCTAATGTAAACAAAGCAATTTCTAAAGATGTGACATTTTTTTTTTTTTTATTTATTAATCCAAAAGATTTTATTACTTAAACTAATGATGGTTGCGCCTGTCTAGGGTGATGCAGGTTTGAATCCTGCAGAGAGAGAATATTTTTCTTTAATAAGATTTCTGGGCAATAGACAAAAATAAATATACTGTTTAATAAATAAACGTGGAATCTATTCAAATATGAGTATCCACTAATAATAATGATTAAGTAATAAAATCTGTCAGATTAATAAATAAAAAATCCATCACTTTTTTGAAATTATATTATATATATGTGTGTGTGTATTGATATAATAGGAAAGAACTGTTAGATTGATGATCCAAAGTTCTTCAGTATTTTTGCTTTTTATTTTAAAAAAAAAAACAGTGCTCAATACAGAAGTAGAGCTTAAATTATAATTATTTTTTAAAAATATGATTCCATCGCAACACAGAAATTACTGTTTCATAACTGCAACATCAATCAGTTAGAGTTTTAGCAGATAGTAATTAAAAAAAACAGAGTTTGATAAAATTACCCATTGTAGCAAAAAAAAAAAAAAAAAAAAAACCAACACAACTCCATAAACTTTGACATATAACAAACACCTCTACTTTCATCAAAGCAGAGATAATGACAATCTAATCCCAGAATGCACCTCCGTTTCAAGACTATAAATGAGTAAAACATTTCCTTGCTTAGTTATTACAAACATCCTTCGAGGATGAAACAGTCATCTAACAATTATGGTTTAATATTGAAATTAAACTTGAATACGGGTGACCAGTTTCAAAACATAGTAATTTCTGTGTCACAATGGAATCATATTTTTAAAAGATAATTATAAAATTATATATTTCTAAAGATTTAATGAATTTATTTTTAATCCAAAATTTTTATTACTTCAAATGTTATTATAGTGGATATTTGAAAGAGGCTCCATTTTTATTTTTAAACAGTGTGTATTGTGTCTATCGGTCTGCACATTCCAATCAAGAAATCTTAATGAAGAAAATGCCAGACAGCACTTTTTTTTTTATTAAGATTTCTCTAAGACCAATATACATAATACACACTACTGAAAAATAAAAGCAAAAAATGAAATGTATTTCAAATGCAAGTATCCACTATAATAATGTTTGTATATATATATATATTATATAAAAATAAAATGGCCAGCTACTCATTTTCCAAGCATACCCATCTGCTAGGGCTATGTTTATTTGACACACACAGTCTACCAGTGGTTTATACTGCGACTATACTGAACGGACTTTATTTACAGTTTCTGAGAGAGAACACATACTCTGGAATGATCAACAGTTTTGACATCACCACGGCTACACTGACTTGTAACTTTGAGCTAGCATAACCATCAATGGCTCCCAAAGGGTTCCGTCTACCCAATTTCCCTCACAAGACTCTAGTCAACATGTGATATAGTTTTCAGGCACTTTCCAAAGCTGTCACACACTGGTATCACTTCCCCAGACCCATAACATCAAGAAGTCACCTTCCTGACAAATCGACCAAGGTGAGATTTGAACATGGATCTCATGGTCAGAAAGGAAATGTTCTAACCACTTGGCCACATATTCATATAAGTGAATATTTCCAAGTGTATTATTTGAAACTCACCTGTGGAGCACCATCAATTTCATCAATTATCAAACAGTTAGGCCTTGGATCAGATTCCATCACAGACTTCATAAGAATAGCAGACTCCAATTTGGTTTTAAATACTTCCATGCTACGATCATCACTATCAAAGAGAAGAAACAAAAAAAAAAAAAAAAAAGAATGTAAAAGATAAAAAGCATGAACTTAAAATTTTAAGCAATATCTAGGGAATTAAAAGATGTCTACTAACAAGTAAGGTAATTTAAATTTCTCTTTCAACATAAAAAAAGAATGACAGTTAAAATTTTTGAGATGATTTTGGTTTGGTTTGTTTTATTTTACAGCATATCAACCTCAATGGGTTATTTAATGCCGAAAACTTTTTTTTCCTGGCAATATTTTGTTTTATCAAAAATCTATTTCTGGTAATTTTTTTTCTCAAAAATGCACAGCTGGTAATATTATTTTAAAAAATGTATTGTTGGTAAAAGTTTTTTTTTTTTCTTCAAAAATTTATTTCTGGTAATAATTTTTTTTTACAAATTATTTCTAGTATTAAAACTTATTTTTACACTTTCATAATACTTTTTACCTCTGTTTTGGGGTTAACTATTTGCCCATAGCTGGGACCCTAACAGGTGCTACCACCCCAGGTCAGGGTGGACCTAGGAACACCAGCAATTAAGAGGTGGTTCCATGCTCCTCAAAACCTCCTGATCAGAGGCCTTCATGTTGGATGTAGTTTATCATCTTACCCTGGACATGGATGTAGTTTATCGTCATACCCAGGACAGTTTTGAGATGAAGAATTATCTTTAGTATATGCTTTTTCATATATAACATTCTGGAGATGCTGACATTCTGGAAGCAAATAACATATTTCAATTGAATTAACACATTAACAGGAAGAAGACTTAGCTATGGGATCACCATTATCTCCACTAATAGCAAACATATTCATTAATTCTTTGAGAAAATTGCTATAGAAACATCACTGCTAAAGCCAACTATGTGGCATAGATATGCAAATGACACCTTCATAGACAAGAAGCACAAATACTTCTGGATCAAGTGAATTTAATAAGATCTTTTGTACAATTTGCAGTAGAAAAAGAAGTAGAACTTCCACAATTCTTCCTGAATGTGCTAATAACATACACTGAGTATGGGTTCAAGATATCCATATATTGAAAGCTAACATTCACTAAACATTACTGGAATTTCAATTTATAGAGCATAAAGAGACATTTTAATCAATTTACCCCATGCAAAGCGATAATGCCACTAAGATGCAAGGGGTTGCTGGGGGTGAAAGGGAATGAGAAAACTTCAGAAGGAAGCAGAAACACAATCCTAAACAGAAAACAGGATAAACTTCTACTCCTATTCAAAAGACCAGGGAGAAATATCCAGTGAATGATAGGCAAACATATCTGCTCCTATTGAGGAAAGATAAAAAATAATTAAATAAAATTTCAGAGTTTAGGTGATGTTAGAAGTATTGAGTTGAAGTAGACTTTAGAAGGAATCAGAAACTCAATCCTAAACAGAAAACTAGGGATAAATCACTACCCCAGTTCAAAAGAAAGGAGAGGAGTGTGAACCGGATGATAGGTAAACTTTTTTTTTTACTCCTATTATCATCCAAAATAATAAGGGGCAACACAGCTATATCCCAACACAAAATGATCAGCATTAGAATCATTTTTCAACTATTCTAAAAGAATAACATAATATTCCTTGAGCAGGGATAGAAAAAAAAACAAAGAAAAATCTGCCTTTGTCTATTTACCATACAAAATGAATACATCTGAAATCCTTGCAACATCAGGATAGTATTCAAAATCACTTCAACCCTTCAGAGATAACTCTCCTGAATAAACCCCTACCCGCAAAAATATGAACAAAAACTATATGTATTCTATCACAAACAGGGAATACTAGCATTAGACCAGACACCTCTAAAAAGTCAGGATAGAGAAATATGAAAATGTCATAATTTAGGGAGAGACTATTGAAATCAGAGATGGCTGATCACATATAGAGGGAAAAGGATTCTCATCAACTCTTGAGGAATGAAAACAAAATAATAGGCAGAACAATACTGGAGAATGGCTGAAAGAATTGGCACATATGTTAGGCTCTGACAATCATATCAGTAGAACTAGCATAAAAATGAATACTATCTAGGAATTTCTGATTAAGAAAGTTCACTCAAAAGATTCCACCACTTAAGTAAAGACATTATATTTAGAGTTCCAAAATGAAATCATTGACTCATCCAAGAGACACATGGCTAAGTAGATTAAAATGTTGGTTGAAAACATATCTTGATCTCTGGAAATCAAGAGTTCAAGCCCTTGATCAGGTAGTGCAAAAAAGTTATATATTCTTGTTAGAGAAAGAAATGAACAAGCAACAGAAAGGTAAATGGGCTAGAGAAAAATTAACTGATATAAGGTGTCCCATAAGCACATGAAACAAAATGCAGTGAATAATAGGTTTCATACAAAATTCCAAGGTCACCAAGTAGAAAATATCCGCAAGACATTGGTGATCATGGTTCTCCTCAACTTTCTTTCTTACTTGTATTGGATGTGCAGGTGGTGTGATAGCAGTTTAGAATGAGAAATCTGAGAGCTATGTTCAAATTCCAGTTGAATTCATTAAATTTACAAAAGAGCAAATACCTTTGGAAAGGTATGAATCAGTCTCTTTTCCCGTAGAGATTCTGAGCTCACTAACCATGGTTGGCAGTCTAGGAAGACAACTCTGAATTCAAATCACAGGTTGCTTTTTGGTAAGTCATAGCACCTGGAACCTATCCCTGTCAAGGTTACAGTGAAGATATCAGCTGCGATCAATGATAGAATCTAACAAACCAGATTTGTGTCATAAAAAAAGATCCTTCATACAGCAAACTGAATGAGACCTAATTATTCCAAGTCAGATGGAAATACAGAAACACAGAGCCAAATCTGTGTCTCCTAAAATATGCACAATCAAAACTCCTTATGATGACACATGGCAGTGTCCTGACAGTTGACCTAATTAAAGTAGTTAATTATCAATGAATAAAACTGACTTTTATTGGGAAATATAATGGTGTGGTTTCTTGTTGCTGTCTCTTTGGCTTGAATCCAGAGTAATTCTTCTCCAAGACTGGCTACTACCCAATACTAGATCTTATTTGCTATTTAACAAATAGATGTAAGAAAAGAGAAAGATTCATCAAGGATACCTGTGCAAAAGTGAATGCCATAAACAAGTTGGAAATTTAAACTTGGTTTACCGATTCCACTTTCTGCTCCAATAACTGTTACATTATCTGAACATCTATTTCGGTAAAGCTTCCCGAGTTTGACTGATTTTTAGGTTAATCTGCTTAAAACCATGTTTGCAATACCAATATATAACAGTTGATGTGCTATAAAATTTTCATACAAACTCATCCAGGTTGTCATTGCAGATCAACTGCTAGTGATGGAATAAACAGATTTTTCTTTAAAAAAAATGTTTTAAATCACACAATGAAAATAAATTTTGGATATGATACACACATTTTTTGTTTTGCATAAAGAACAAATGGTAGTTCAAAAAGATAAAATTTACTATGAGCTACAAGGGACAGGAAGTTGTAGATAACCATGATTATCCATGTCCTGAAGGGACTCAGAAGATACCAAAAAAAAAAAAAAAAAAAAAAAAACAAACACTGATACACTTACAAACCCATAAGTATGGGGCACCCAGTGAGGATCGAACACACTACTCAGTCATAATTGTTCTAGCGAGACAAGCTTGCTAACCAAAATGATTTCCTAAGAGTAGCTTAGATGTGGCACAAGGCCAAAAAATAGGGGGCACCTAATGAGGATCAAACTCACTTTTCAGTAGTAACTGATATAGCAGGAGAATCTTGCTAACCATTACACAGTGTTGAGGCGCTCAAATTCAAAGAGATATATTATAATACCCATGTTCAACTAAAAGATAAAAAACAATTACTTACCTTGCATTCATTTCAACTACATTATATCCTGCATGTTTAGCAATTACATGTGAAAGTGTTGTCTTTCCCAGGCCAGGAGGACCAGATAATAAAGCAATCTGCAAAGACATGTATAAAATTGGAAAAAAAAGGCAGTAAAAAAAAAAAAAAAAAAAATATAGCAAACATGACATAGTAATAAAATTAATCTTGGTTCTTATTAAGGTTGACAAAAGTGTAAAAGCAATGGAGGTAGTTGCTGCAGAGTAGTTTACTCAAGTGCTCACTCACACACTCAGACTTCATCAACAACCTTAAGACCTTTTTATCAATATATACTTGATGATGGGGCAGAATACAGGGCATTAGTGCAAAGTGATCAAAAGCAGCCTTATTTGAAATTCAATCAGGATTCCATCAAACTGAGTTTGTTTACATTGATGCAACTCCACATCCGCATGAACATATTACTTCCTCTTTTAATCAAAGTAACTTTTTTTTTATGTCAAAATTGTATTCAGTCTCATTATTGTGAGCAACTAAAACACTTAATGTGTTGTTTTTCAAAATGCTCCTTAGACAAAAACATTTAAAAAGTGTTTCAGTCACTAGTTCATCCACAGTAAATTTGCATCCAGATTACAGCATTTCACCATTATTAGAAGATCATCTGTCATCACATTGTGGGTTTATTTAATAACAAAGATGATGGAAACAAATAGAAAAAGAATACAAATAAAATGGCAAAATAAAATACCCAAAAGTTAAAACACATTAAGAATCGTTTGTTCCCATGCATCAACGTAAACAAACTTAATCTGATGGAGTCCAAGTGGACGAAACATGTCACACAAAAACATTTTCCACTTTGTCATACAGTTTTCCTCCATACATTTCTTTTTAATCATTTCATAATGAAGCAACTAGGATGCAAAGAGGTCACTGAGTGTTAGAGAATATGAGAAAAGCTACTAGAATTAAGAAGACAGAAAAGAACGATTAACATTGCATTTAAATTTTTGAAAATCAATGTTGACAGGGAAGCAAGACATCCAAAGTGAGTTCTACAAGCAAAAAGTGCAATAGAAGAAACTGTTAGCATAGAATTTCTACTTACATCTAGCAGCCATTTCAACTGTAAAATGATGAGACCTTGCTGCCAATATAGTACTGCACTTAAATTCATAAAGTCTACGTACCACAATGGAAAGTTCATCAGAACAATTACTGTAAAAGTATTTATAGAAAAATTACAGGGATGCTACGTTATGGCAGTGGTAAAGTGACTGAAGCCAAGATGCCAGGTCAGAAATGATAACATTGCAGATTCTTCCTTGGAATTTATCAAGAATCTCTAAATATATAGTAGGAGCACCAGACTAGATGTGGCAGCAATATTAAAAGTAAGGAAAAATGGTAGACTTATAAATATGTAAGATAAATTATGGTGAGAAGATTGTCTAGCAAGATATAGTGGACCAACTTTCTTAGCTGCAGATTTAGCATTTGCTTCAATACTGGCTTTCCACTATATATTAGCTGAAAGTGTTTGTCCAAGAAGATGCAATGAGTCATTCTCCTGGAGGTTAGTATTAGCCATGCTGATGGAAAGCAGAAAGGGTTCTTTTATGTGATTAAAAGAATGCAGTTTTGTTTTTGAGGTGTTAAAAAAAAAAAAAAAAAAAAAAATCACTCCTTGCTCCATTTAACACCAGATTTAATGACATTTTTTAAATCAGCTGCCAATTTGACCTTATCGAATCAATTAGGCTTATTATTAAGACAGGAGTAAATAGTTGTGCCATCAGCATAGATACCGAGTTGAGAACAGATGACATCAGGAAGGTCATTTATGAAAATTAGGAACAATGTAGGTTCAAGAATAGAGAGCCCTGGGGAACACCTGCATTTATCCAAAAAGATCTAGAAGAGTGGACATTCAAGACACCATTCATTTCATTATATATATATATATATATATATATATATATATATATATATATATATATATATATATATACACACACGTGTGTATATATCTATGTATATATTTAAAAAGTAATGGATTTATTATTCATTAATCCAATAGAATTCATAAACTTACATATTATTTTTTAGTGGATACCCTTTATTAAACAGTATATTTATTTTCTTCTGCTGCCTGAAGATTAGAGACATTTAAAAACATGCATTCTCTTTGTAACAGAAACTATCATTTAATAAGATTTCTCAAATATTCATGCCAGTAGACAAAAATATATATATATATATATATATATATATATATATATATATATATATATATATTTGTGTTTATTCATTAAACAGTATCTACTCAAATATAAGTATCCACTAAAAGTGATTATATACACACACTTATGTGTGTATATAATTACATAGACACTGAAGGCAACAGCTAGCAGTAGGAATCTGTCATGTGCTTAAATACAATCTTCAAGCAATGAAGATTGTGTTTAAGCATGAAAAAAACTGTTACTGCTATATGTTGCCCTCTTATTTATATATGCTCTAACATTGATATTGAGCAATTTAACTCATAAATATAGCATACCTTAAAAAAATATTTTTATCATATTCATATATATATATATTTTAAAATATTACATCAAAAACAAGTCGAAAATCGCTACACAATTGCAGTCATGTTTCAATGCATATCAATGTATTTCATCAAGCAATTGTAAATTACTGGTGAGTGAAAAATGAAAAGCAAAATACAACCTCTTTTACAAAAAAAGAAAAGTTGGAAATTATTAGGTTCTTTGATAAGAATGCTTTATTAAGCTAAAAATCAGAGTTAATGGTAAATTGTATACACAGCCTACCTTTTATCTTAAAATTTAGTTAGAATTGACAATGTTTTTTTCTTAGATTTTAGCTGAACTGTGTTGCACCATGTATGGCCTATCTTTCTATTTGTAAGATTAATTTGGATTTAGTATAATTTTGTATTAATCTCCTGGTAGTATTGGTAATATTTTGTATGGATGTATTAGTATTTGGTTGGTATTTTTGACATTTTGTATTAATTGGTTATTGTTATTAACATCTTATATAAAGAATCGTTAGTCAACAGCTGCATATTAATTTACCAAGTAATTTTATATATTTAAATTATTTATTGGTTTCTTAAAGAAACTATTTATTTATCAACTTTAAAAAAAAATTTTTGTAGGAAACTCACAAAGCATATAACTTGTTTAAAATTTTGTTAAATTACTGTTCCATCTCATATTTTCTTAAGAAATGACATTGTCTAGTGTGTAAAATATGTATCTAACATTCATTCCTGTTTAATGTCTGTGCTGCCACTGACTGTCACTCTACAGGTCATGACCCATTCATGGAAAATAATTTCTTAATTTTTGCTTCTTTGCTTAGTTTAAATTTAACAAAGGTCATATTTGATTGGTTGATCTGAGTAAAGCCCACAAGACTTATAACCCCCAACTTTTTTTTTTTCGTAAAAGAGGTTGTATTTTGCGTTTAAATCTAAATAAATCATTCATGCACCAATAGTTTACAACTGCCTGAAGAGATGCATTTCATACGCATCAAAACACCACTGCAATTGTGTAGCAATTTTGAATTGTTTTCGATGTAATATCCTAAAATAAATAATATTGCTCTACTTTATATTGAGCCCCCTTTTAAATTAAATATTACGAACGTTGGAACTGTACTCTATTCGTTCTCATTTTACCTTGATATATATATTATACACTGTTACATTAGAACATGTATATATCCACTACAAAATTGTAGTGGATATTTACATGTTCTAATGTAACAGTGTATAATAGATATTTACTGCTATACTCTTGTATTGGGCCCTGTTTTAAATTAATGTTTTGAATGTTGAAATTTTATTCTTCATTCTTTTACATTAAAAGATAATATATATATATATATATATATATATATATATATATATATATATATATATATATATATTATGCCTTCAAACATTAGTAGATACCTGTATTTAGTAGATGCAAAGTTTATTTTAAACCATATTTATTTTGTCTACCACCCTGCACATTCAAGAAAACTTATTAAAAAAAAATATAAGGGTATCCACTTAATATAACACGAAGTAATACAAATATATTGGATTAAAAAAATAAAGCTATTAACTCTTTAGAAATGTAGGTGTGTGTGTGTGTGTGTGTGTGTGTGTGTGTGTGTGCTATATCAAATCACTCTACAATCATTACTGGTTCAAAAAGTCTTATTGCAACATGAATATACCAAGTTTTACATTTAGTCACCTTTTGAATTGGTCGGTTCAACTTGTCTAACTCCAGGTTGATTTGGGGAATCTTTTTTTTGAAACCCGTCTGTTTTGAGTCAATATCACGCTTTTTTGGTTGCTTCACCTCCTTACCAAAAACAACATAGTCCCACTGTTTCAACCAAGAGAGTACAGTACGGTTGATAGTCTGAAAATGAAAAACACAACTTCAGGTAAAATTAGTAAAATAAAGATCTAAATCAATGAACAAATATACTAAATTAAAAAAAAAAAAAAATTATCAAAAATATTCAGAAATTCACAATGCACTAGAAAGGCTAGCCAGAAAGTTAAGATGAAAATAATTTTCAAGAGCATCAATAAACTTTTTCACAAGTATTTTCATTCTGTTTGATGCAATTTTAACAAATGCAAATGTAGGGAAAAATTAACGTGGAAATTTCAAGAAATGAAAGCTGTTTATTTTTCTATAATATTTTAACAAAATCTCTTAAACAATATAAACTGAATGATGAAAAATCAAATTATTCATACAAGCACACTTGAGATAATGTGTATGGAAGAAATACCTCCCACTTTTTAAAAATGTCACTTGTGTGGTGAAAACCCCCATTGCAAGTGGCAATGGGGTCTTCCTCTAGCTAATGTCTTACCATTTTTTTTCCATACACACTCAGTTACCATCATGGCTTAAAGTGGTGCACACTGTACATTTGCTGCTGAAACATTTTTTTTTATTATTATTTAAGACTGGTGAATCTTAAATTCAATGAATGTCTGGCACTGAGATTTCATATGAGAAAAGATGACCTTTAAACCAAGGATTCCAATTATAAGAGAATCACTTCCTTTTTCAGATACAGCGTCATTTACTGTTGACCCCTGGTTTGGAATGACTTGCAACAAAGCTCAAGGGAAAACACTAGAAAAATTTAGAATCTACCTGAAGACTGTGTGCCTTGGGCGCATAAATATTGCAATGTTGTCAAACAGGAAAGAGAACAGAAACTCTTTGCATGTATAACAAAGAAAAGAAGCTTAGAGTAAAGAAAATAATATTGGATAAATATGCAGAACATGATTGAAATTATATATGAAAAAAGAATTTTGTAAGAAAGATTTATTGAAATTTAAAGCCAATCTTAACCAGCCTTTATAACATAATTTTAAACACTTAATGTTTGCATTTTTAAAGAGATGTCCACAAAGAAATCAAATCAATTGAAAATTTAATTTTTAGCAGTATGAAATCAGAAAATATAGCTCAAATATCATTTTGTTGCTAATGTTTTTAATTACCTTTTTAATAAAATATTCTGTAGACTTAGATTGTGAAAAAAAATCCTTGATAAATCCTTTATAGATTTATTTTCAATTATTTTACTGCTAAATGTTTTTTAATATTTTAAATTATCTGCTCTTCTGGATAATTCTGAATTGTTGTTCTTCAATAATTATGATTTAATAATGCTTTTAATTTGCTGAAAAGCCTGATTTACCAGAATTAGAATTTTAAAGAGCAAATATAATAACAATGATAATAGGAACTTGTTAATGCTCTTTCATATACTCTGAATCAGACGCTTATGATTTGTAATTTTGGAAAAATTGTATTTATTATCATTTATTCTGTAAAACATTCAATCTCTTGAACAAACATTTTTTTTTTGATAAGTAACAAGAAAAAAAATTCAGAGGAAATAATTCAAAATTTAAAAAAAAAAACAATTCGAGAGAGAAAAATGTTAATTTCAAGTGGTGAACACAAAAAGTCAATCAACATTGCTTATAAAAAAAGTGCTTTTGACAATATTAAATATAGAGATAAAAATAATAAACTTGCAGTTCCTCAAAGACAGCAACAACAAAGAAGCTAGAGTTCCTGTAGAAAAAAGAAGAGAGAAAAACAAAAAAGTGACGAGAGGGTTCACCAGCAAACCAGCTGTTTTTGGTCGCCTCAAAGAAATGAATTGCAAGACTCCTTTTCTCGGCTGTTACACTGGGCAGTCGTGAAACGGACACCCAAATCAGACGTGCCTACTTCAACCGCCTCTTGGTCTGCCAGTCTATTCGCACATCCAACTCTGTTTCACAAAGTCCACCGAATGACTCGCCGTCTGCTGTGCCGCTGGTGCCTTGCCTTTTTATACTAGTCCGACACTGCTGAAATTTGCATGTGTACTGCTACAATTTCAATTTGGATGAGACTGGTGCGTATAAATCGAGTCTTCGACAGTGGCCATGTTTTGTCTCAGATTTATCATGCAAGCAAGACACATTAGCACATGTTTCGAGCTCCGAGGTAAGTCATCACAGTTCCTCAAAGACAACAACAAAGAAGCTGCAGATGACAACAACAAAGAATCAATGAAAATAATGGCCATATTATTTACCTCATCACTAAGAAGTTCTGTGTATCCCCTGGGAGCATACTTATCCACCCAAAGATTGCCTTCTGTCTCTGTTGCAGTTCCTCCTGCACACTCGTTTTCTTTGTTACCATCATCATTTGCTGGTTCCAGTGCTGCTTCTTCCATTTCCAACGTTTCACATTCTCGCAGACCTCTTAAAAATAAATAAATAAACTAAAAGTAAATAATTACATATATATATAATTAGTAAAAAGTCCTCTTTATTTTTAAATTTTCATGATATAGTAATCATGCTTTAGAAGACTTTGAAGAAATAATTGCAATAAGTTATTGTTAATATATAATGTTTTCAACAACAATATACTGTGTGTCAATGCTCCTGATTAAAGTTGTCCTATTGCCCTGAGGATGACAAATCATTAGTTTGGGATGACTGGTTAGGCTTTTTTGAGACAATGCAACATAATTAAAATTCTATAACATTTATTCTAAAAGCAACTTTTTCTATGTACCATGTCCCTTCAGGATGTGGTAATCATGGCTCTCCACAATTTCTTGTCTTTTGTAGCTTTTAGTAAATTTTGTCTTTTTGCTATCTCCCCTAAACTCTGTTCTACCATGCACTGACACAAGCTTGTAAGGTAGGTTGCACACAGTTTTCCAGTCCCTCTTGCCTTCAATCTGACCTCTGAGTGTCAAATTTTCCTCATTATATGCCCTAGAAATTTCAATAGTCTCTTTCTGATGTTAAGTTTAAGTGTCCTTTCTGCTTCCACTTTCTCTAAAACTTTGTCATTGGTCACATCTTCAGTCCATAATATTCTCAGCATCCTTCTGGAGAACAACATCTGTCTCTTCTTCATCTGTGATGACATTGCCAAGCATTCACTACCATATAGGGAGACTGGTATTACATAAAATCTTTTATACAAGTCAGTAAAAAAATAGGATCCAAAATTAAATGTGGTTTCAGGAATTTGCTTGGAAATTACAGCCACATGCTATGCTTCCGACTATGTCTGTACATTTGAACTCCCAATCACCGGGTCACTGGGTGCTATCCCATATAAACTGAAAAGCTTTCATTTGGAGGCCAATCACATAATCAAGATATATATATATATATATATATATATATATATATACAATACAAAACACACAGAGCAAAAAAACACACACTGCAAAGACCCTGTACGTGGAGACATGGATCACTCATCAATGACAAGTGGTTGGATCTGAATTCGACCAGAATTCTCTTGTTACCATGACAACGCCTCAGCCAGTGACAACTACACACCATTTATTTGAAGGAATATTCACACAACTCAAAGAAATATTCACAACCATGGAAAAATGTAAGTCTTACCATCCATCTGTATGTCCATTTTCTTTTGGAACCACCATAATCAGATTTCACATATTAGCACTCACACACACATACGTTTCTACTAATGTGCTTCACACACACACACACACACACACACACACACACACACACACACACACACACACACACATTCAGTCAGCCACTCATACTCATACACTCCGTTAAAATGTTGTTTCAGACACACACATATATACACACTTTATATTGATCAAGGCACAAGGACTTTACAAACTACCATTTAACAAATGGAAAATTTTGTCAAACATTTGAACTTTGATTTTTTACGACCAGAACAAACACAATATTTACCATCGTTTTTTAAAATGTTAATTTACATAAATATTGTTAAAAATCTGGTTTTCCTTTTTGCATTAAAAAAAAATAAATTCTTCACGTTATGCTGGATTTCTAAATAAACATTTGGATTTTAATTTCATTTTTAATCCGGATAGACAAATGTGTTATCAAAAGGATGACATTTTAAAATGGTTAGACACAGTAAGCGAAATTAAAGAAATGATAAATGATATCTGTTAAAATTATGTCGAAGAGGATGAATTGAATATAGGAAAAATTGGTTCAAGATTGTATTTTGCTCACATTTTTAAAGAAGTTAAATAGACTAGCTGTCAGTTTATAAGATCCTTCTGCATTTATTGAATATAAATGAAATTCCTGGTATCATTTCATATGATTCTTATAAAATCAAAGAAAAAGTGTACGATTTTCCTCAATTTGCTTTCAAAATTTTCTAATTCGAAACCATAAGTAGTTCCGTTAAAACTAAGACTATAAAATTTCAATTTTAAAAGGGATATTTGAATTTTTTTCTCTTTACAGTTAAACATTTCATTATTCGCAAGGAAACTAAGATTCCGTTTACTAGGTATTTCATTTTTCCTTGATAATGAATGAGTTTACTAAAGTTTTAAACAAGACGATGATTCTTAAGTCAACAGCAGATCATGGAATTCATCCCAGTTAAACAATTCTTGACAAAAGTTAAGGAGATTTTCATTCGAATTAAAAATTTCACATTGTTTTAAAAGGAACTGATTTGTTGGGTCCAAACAAATTTTTTTTCTTATATTCTTTCAGATTTTTGAAAATTGCATCAAAAGAAGTAAGCAATATTCATTAATAATTTAAATAGTTCAATGAAATAAACATTTTTCTTGGACCACTAATTGGAAGTTCGAAAACAATTGAAAACATTTTTAGAAAATTGAATTAATTTACCAAAAAAAATCAAATATTTCGTTAAAGGAAATTAATACAAAGTTTCCTTCTACAGAAAAAGATTATTTTAATGTAAATAATTGAAACTTTTAAATATAAAAATGAAACTGACGGTTATATATTAAATATTTTCTCTATCGAAGACACGGGTTTATTTACGCTAGAAAAAAAAAGGAATTTGACACGAATAAGCCGGTACATGTTGATTTATTTTCATCTGCAACCTCTGACTAACTCTTCCTTCATAGTCAGCGTCACAATATAATTTTAGACTAATAAATAATTGAGCTATGATGAGCAAGTAAACATTATTGATTGATCTTAACATCGATTGAAAAGCGAAGGCAATACGTGGATTAGTAAAAATAACAATTTTTTTGGTAGCAGAGATTTAACTAACTTTTTGTCAACATCTCAATGCCTGCAGAGCTTAAAAATATACAGGATGTTATTTTTGGACCCATGAATTTACTTTTATGAAACTAAAATGCATGAATGACAGATATCAAAATTTATTAATACACAAAACTTCTTAAATTCAATTTCAAAACTATTTTGTCCTCTGAACAATTAATTAGTCCAAATTCCCAGTCTTGTTTTGAATAGAATAAGTCTCAACGAAATATAAACTTTTAGAAAGTTCTGGGTTTAAAACAGTAACACAGACTCAAGAGAAATTTGTTGATATGTAGACCATAAAACATTTAAAAGGGACGAGAACAACTTTTCTTTTCAGTTGAATGTAATCGATTTAATGTTTGGTGAAAAAACCTCCGACTCTATGTCAAACACACAAAAAGTGTCATCAACATATCCAAAGTAATAGTTTGGTCTTTTAAGTATGCAAATATATTTTTTTGAAAAAAAAATTGCCAATTCCTGAACCTAATAAACTTTTGTAGAAATTTTTCTAATTTGACTGTTGAAAATTTTATAGAATTTGAATTCAGACATACAAATTGGCAAAATTCATGAACTTAACAAATCTGTCTTTTGAGGAATTCATTGTGGAGCGAAATTTTAAAAGTTTTTACGATAAATAACATCGGTACAGATATTAATCATTTTTTTAAAGGAACACAAGGAAGCAAAGTCTGATGTCAAAATGAACACAAAAACTTGTCAGAACTAAACGGACAATTCTGCATAAAGTTAGCGAATGAAAAATAATCTTTAATGCAGTTCCCCCGTAAAATTTACGTTTTGATTGTAAGCAACCAAGTCAACCATTTAGATAGTTTATGCTGCACAGACAATGATGACAAATACAGGAACATTGTTAAAATGGATTTTAGGCAACCCGTACAACCGGGGCCATAGAGAACCTCACAGGTTTGTCAACTTCATAAATTTCAACCTCATGAGCTTTATCCTTGAGCAAATACTAAAAAGTTAATCTCTATGGATTTTGTTCTATCATAATTTAATAAACGTTTTTTAAGAAATTCTTTTCAATGTCATCCAAAAAACCGTCTGTGGCATTTTGCAATGAGACAAGAATGACATTGAAAAATGGTATTGTTTACCCACCATATCAAAAAATGGGACCGTGATATTTATTAAAAAATAATTCAAAATAAAAAAAAAAAAAAAAACTGATTCTACGGCGGACATTATTGTTAAAGGACATTGTTAATTAAGTTCTTTCAGAAAATCCTATGGAATACATTACATAATTTTGAATTTAAACGCAAAAAAAAGTTACCAGAAAACCGGTATAAGATGTATGGAATCTCATAATATAAAGATAGAAATAAATTGATGACCCGCATATAATTTAACAACTGCTAATGTTTAAGTTCATATTTTATTTTACACTGTGGAGGTTGTGTTAATGATTAAATTATATTGATAAAAATTGTTGAGTAAATTAGGCTGCGTGATGAAATTAACAATGTTGATACACATTACATTTTAGTATTCAAAAAACATAGAATAAGGACAACATGAGAAACATGTCAGTTTTGCACAACAATAAATAAAAAATTTATATAAACAAGAGATACAAAAACAACTGGAAAAAAGGTGGTTTTAAAAAGTCCAAACGTCCTTTTATGTTTAGATAAAAAGGTTATCAAAATTCGGGTTTGATAGATTATAATTTGTTGAATTTTTGTACAATAATGAGACTGGTGTGTTTGGGTATTCTATAATTTAAGAAAAAAATAAACAGCTCAAGTTTGTATTTGAAAGAGAAATATTGTTTACGATTTATTTAAAGTTTACGGATTTGTACTCTTTGATTTGTTTTCACTTGTTTGAAGAGAATATTCTAGTTGGGGTAAGTGGTTCTTATAAACCTGTGTTTATGTTTCTAAATAATTAACGTTGAGCTTGAAAACAATATGCAAAAAGATTCGTGTATTAAGTTGAATGTGGAAAACTTGAGTTGATTGTTCGTCATCAAAATATTAAAATATTTGAATGAGCGTTAATCTCAGGCTGGAACATGAAAAGAACTTTAATTAAAGCCTGGAACTGAATGAAAGTTCAAAGGATTCCGATTTTAATTAAACTGTCGAAGATGAAAGACGTTTCATATTTTATCATAACTTTGGTTACGTGATAAGGCTACAGAAGGTTGATAGATTTTTACCGGAATTACCTTTTGGTCAGGTCAAGAATTAGGTCGGTGTTATTAAATATTTGACGAATAAAAAGTTGCGATTTTCTGAAAATATATATTAAGCTGAATGGCTCTGTGATCCTTTTTTCTAGTTCTTGATATTGATATTCGAAAATGATTTAAATATTAATGACCAATTAAAGTTGAGGTAAATGAAAATATTTCATGCCGAATAAGTTCAATGATCTACTTTTTAGGCTCAAAATTGATATTGATAAAAAAATGGTGATAGTGGGATGCTAAAACATAATTGAGTTTTTTAAAATGTTTACATCCTTGAATAAAAATGTCATTTGAAAATAGGTGTTTATTTAATGCTGTTCATTTGCCATTTCACTGTTTTCTCTTGCAGCTTCAGTGTCAATGTATTCAGTGTAGATTTATGACTTTGATATCGTCATTTTAGGAGTCGTTCTCGGGAACATCTTTTCCTGTGTATTCATTGATTACGTAGGTTTATATAAAAAATTAAAAGTGATTAATAGTTTCTTTTTTTCTCTATGAAACAAATTTTTCAATTGTATTTACATTTTCATAATTTTTGTTACCAAATAATAGTTTTTTCTCGTATTTTCTAACATTCAGTACCCCACCCCTTGTGTCCTAATGACTTTATTGCTTTGTTTGGGAGGAAAAAAAAAAAAAAAATCTTTACTGTTATTTACATCAGTTATACAAAATTAATTAGATATTTTTTAATTTAGTTATTGTTACTTTCTTCCTTTTCCAAATTGATTTCGCCGTGTTGTTATTTACATTAGATTATTGTTTTGAACAAACAATGTTTTATGATTAAGTATATTTCGGAAATTAATTTTTGCAACACATTTTGGTTTGTATACAGTTTATATGCTCGTAAGTACTAAATATACTGATTAGCTTTCAAAGTCTTCAATTTTTTCCATGTTATAGAAAAGTCATTTCTTCTTATTATAAACGTTATTTTTAATGGGTTTGAAAGACTGTCCGTGTTTTATTTTTTTTTTAACAGTGAAATTTAATAACAACCGATAAATTGAAAAGAAATATTATTAAACCTCCGATAGGAATCGATATATCTATCTTTTGCCGTTACCAATTTGGCTAAACTGGTATCCGTTTTGGGTACGAAATATCAATCTAGCTGATATAGATTCTCAGAAGTCCCAACGAGAAAGCTGCAACACTTAAATACATATTAAAAAACAGAATATCAACGCGGCAACACAAAATAAACATTTAAAAAAAAAAGATATCAACTCAAACACGTTGACCCCACCATAAATAACATTTATAGTAATAAGAAATAATATTGGATTAGAAAAAAATATTTTAAATAAGTTAATAAAAATATTTTTTTTAAAAACACAAACAATATATTTGAGCTTTTGTTGGAATATGCTATCATCCAACAATTTTCTTTAATATAGCTTGTCTTCCAATGTATATAAAAGAGTTTAACATATACTACTCTCAATAACTATCCCCTTCTCATTCAACAAAGTTGATATGGAAATAATAATAGCACATCAAAGTCAGCAGATGAGTCCAAATTATTTGGTAAAAAGAATCTTAGATCAAGAGATCATAATCCAGAATAGCAGTCCTGTTCAAAAACCAAAAAATAGTCAATAAAACTATATAGGATAACTACTGTATTTTTTGGGACAATAAGACATACCAATGTATATATACCAATGTATATGATACACACTTATTTTGAAGACAAAGTTTTCGAAAAACAGCTAGTTATACTGAAAAGATTTTTCTTGAACAAAAATTCAATCTAATGGGTGACTGATCTGTTTTTTTTTTATAGTTTATCAAGCATTTCGAAGTTATTTAAAGCCAAAACATATTTTGTATTTTAAGAATTCTTTAGAGATAATAATGATTTTCTGATATAGGTTTTTCTATTTATCCCATAGCTGGAGGGGAAAAAGAGGTGGATTCATATCTTTCCCAAGGGTATTAGTGCATAAGTGAATATAACAAAGTTGACTGGAATTCAAACTCAGCTCTGCGATTTTTCATTCCAGGCCTTTATTCATTACACCACCTGCACATCCAAGCTTACAGTACCTGAAATTTCCGAGTGGCCACCCATCTAAGTACTGACCATGTTCAACGTTCCTTAACTTCAGAGATCTGAAGAGAACCAGAATTACATGATATGACTATAATAAGCCCTTCAATCTAATACTTAAAAATGACTATATAAAGAGCTTAATGCAAGTATGCATTTAAATAAACTGAACTCTGCACGCCTGTTTAAATATGTTTACAGGGCTTTTATATATATATATATATATATATATACACACACACACACACAGAGAGTGCGATGGGTAAATTGTCACCATTTTTTATTTTGCATATGTGCGTTGTTTTTAATTTTGTCAACAGTACAGTATAGTAGGGCCAACTGAGCACCATGACACAATTCACTTTACCAGAAATTTGGAAACAGCATGCTGTACTGCTTGGCATTCGCACCGGAAACTCCAGTACCAACATTTCAGAGTGTTTGGGTGTCAATCAGAGGACAGTGCAGAGGATTCAGAAATCTTTCTGATAATTTGTTGGTGAGGGCCTCAAACCCAAAAGAAGGCCTATACCAAGTCGATAGAGGAGGTAGTGCTTCCTTGAGTCAAGAGGGTGGCTGCTGGGAGACCCTATGTATCAGGAGAACCCAGTCATGGCTATCAGACAATTTCTGCAACCACATCACCCCTTACAACTGGCCACGTAACTCCCCAAACTACAACCCCCTTGATTATTATGTGTGGGGCACAATTAAGCAATAGGTCAACAAAACTCCTTGTAACACCAAAGATGAACTGAAGGAAGGATTATAGCAGCATTCACCAAATTAAACAAGGGGACCTTCCAGAAGAGTTGCAAGAGATTTCAAAGTCATCTGGAAACCATGGTTGAAGCCAATGACAATTTTATTGAATAAATTTACTCTTCATTATTTCAAGATATTTTTGTGTAATTTTGGTAAATAGATTTGTTAAAATATGATGTCAGTATTATTTTCAATTTTGTGTAATTTTGACAATTTATCCATCACACTCTGTGTGTGTGTGTGTGTGTGTGTGTGTGTGTATAAAATCTTATCTAATATCACCATTCTTGAAAGAATTATTACTTCTCCAAGCCAAAATATGCAACTACAAAAATGCTAAAAGATTGAAAAAAAAAAAAAAAGGTTAAATACTAAACAGTTATTTAAAATATATAACATATCAATTAATCCCAAACTACAATAATTTAAATACTAATTTGTATATATAAAAAAAAGAAAGAAAAAAAACATTACTTACTCACTTTCGTTTATTATACATTGAATTGTGTCATGTCATGCCCTCCATAGCTTGCCTGACTTTTCAGCTAACCTGATGAATATCTATGAGTGTTCCTAAACATAAAAACTTTGAAAAAACTAATATTTTTGCTCTCGTATATAAATACTTGTTGGAAAATAAAATCTTTGCATCTGTGTTGATAAAACCTCTTTTATCAACACAGATGCAAAATGTGTCAGACAGATAAATTTTCCTTTTGTCATATATATATATATATATATATATATACACACTCTATTCATACCTTTAGTGTACAGAATGCAAACATTAACATTCATGTGAGGATGTGAGAGACTTTTCTCTCTTGGGTGAGGCATTTTTATAATTCCTTGTCCTGTGTTTGCACATCCTAAGCTAAGCTGGGTTAACTTTGTTTCTATGACAGGACAGACACTGACATCCTTTGAAGCCTTTCTTCACCTGGTGGCTATGAAGTCAACTCCCAATCAACAATTTGATGCGCCACACACAACTTTTTTTTTTTTTATTTCACTCCAAGCAAGGCAATAAAGCCATTAAGATACAAGAGGTTACTGAGTGTGAAAGAAGAGGAGAAAAAGAAAAACATTATTAAGAAGGGAGAACAATAAAAAGAACTTTTGATACTCTAGTATGACACTGCCTACTTTAGTATCTCACAAGGTGAGCCCAGTGCATTTTGGGGTCAAACACAGATTAATTTCTCTTAGAACAAAGGTTTCTTATTGACATCAAATATGCTTCAGACCTGTTATTTCAAGACATAAATCTCATACTACAATGGGATTAAGTTGTAAAATTTAAAGATTTCTATTTTCATTCTTATAAATCTTTATTTTAGCATTAGAATTATTTTTAATTATTTTTTTTACTTAAAAATACAATTACAAATTTCATACAGTCACCATAAATACCATTTAAACTATGATTTTTTTTAAATACCACAACCCTTCAGACTGATTGATGGATTCATTTTGTATGGCTTATCAGCCCTTTGCAGATTAAAGTCAGAAAACATTTTTAGACTGTAAAAAAAATTTTTTTTTTTTTTTTTAGATAGTAATGGTTTAGTGATACAGGTCTTATTAATTAACCCATAGCTGGGGTGAGAAGAAGCAGATTCATACCTTTCCCCCTGGGTATTTGCACATAAGTGAATACAGGGATTCAAACTCAGCTCTCCAATCAAAAACTCCAAGCCATTACCCATTATACCACTGACACATCCAAGCTTACAGCACCTGGTATTCCTAAACAGTCACCCATCTAGGCACTGACCAACCTCGACGATGCTTAAATCAGGTGATTGTACGGAATCAGGATTTTCCAGATTCTATTTCAATATTATCTGTAAATTATCACACTTTCTTGGGAAAGATAATGGAATGGCGTCCCATTATGTTCTCTATGGTTTGAAATTCAAAGATTTCCTTCAATGAGACTGGTTGCCACACAAGTCTAGAGAGCCCAGTTTACCCTGCTATTTAACCTAAAGCTGCAAGTACCACTGCTACTATTACATAACTGTCAGACATTTTCAAATAATTTTCAATAGATAAAGCCTGTAAATGAAGGCCGAGTGATAATTATTAAAAATGACAGGAAAAGGAAAACTTAAAGAAAAAACAACCATCTATTTTGATACAAAACTGTTGCCAAAAATATAGCAGTCCACATAAAAATAAAATTTACCACAAATGCAATTTAGGAAAAAAAAAACTTCCATTTGAATTTCTGGGACAAGGAGTTATTATTTATATTCAAACTAATATTTTCATCCTTATTATCATCACGACATTCCTTTCTTCCACCAATTCCAACCTTTATGGCTAACACTTGCCATGCCACACACATTGTAACGAACCACCCTCATTTCATTGGTGAGATGTAAGTTCCACTCAAGCAGCGTCTTCCCACAAACCACTGCTTTGTGAAATCAACTCCCATGAGGATGTTTCCCCAATCTCTACAATATTAACCTGTTAGAGTCATCGGTCAACAGCTACCTTCCCCATATATTCTTATAAATTGTGCCTCTTACTCTGTAGCACTCTGCTTCATCATTGTAAAAAAAAAAAAAATACATTTCAACAATTGTGACTTTCAGACTTCTTCAGGGTTCTCTTGATCCAAGTAATTTCAAACTGAATCCTTTATTTAATCTATGGGGGAGGGATATATTGTTTTCAATCCACTGTCCAAGTATAGGGCTGTCTTGGACATTTTAGTAATGCTCAGTTACTTCGCCATGTTTCTATAGATTAAATTTAGTGTTCAGGCTGACATTTTTTGAATGGTAATGGCAATATTAGCAGTTTCCCTACAAGGAAACATTCAGCATTCATTGACTGACTAGCAGTACTGTTTTCAGTTGAAATCTATAAAATCTTTAACTTGAAACAATTTTTCAGGAAAACAGGTATCCCAAGTCCAGTAGCTGTTATTGCTCTTTCCAGTACTGATGGGTGTTTTCTTCCAAACTTTTTATCTGAAGTAGTGTGTAATGTTAACATCTTGAATATGTCATTATTTTCACTTTGAGTTACGTGTACTATCCATTTTAGTTGTTGCTGATGTTGGCAGTCCTCAAGTGATGTTATTTCTGTTATTTGGTAGTTCTTTGTGATCCTGTAGCGCCAGTCCACAATGTTCAAAGAAGTACAGTCTTCACCAAGACTCTCAGGATTTGCTCACTCAAAGCCCTTTTTTTTCACCACTGATCTCAGTAAGCAGTTGTGTACAGCTGGCAGTTTAGATATTTCTGAACAGGTTTAGTGGCATGCATGACATCTATATGAAAGTCTTCATCTGACAAAGCTATTTAAGAACATGACTCAAATTTTCAGGTTAAAGCTTACCTGAATTAGCAGACAAAGCCTTGAGGGTACAACAACCAAAATGTGATAATAATAATAATAATAACAAAGATGAAGAAATAATGCATAAAAATTGTTCTTTAAACAAGATATTTTTTTAAAAATTCATTTTTTTCTTTCAAACAATTTATGATAACGACAAGGAAAATGTTAATCAAATATTTGTTTTCTTTGAAAGAGGATAGAGGAAGAAGTCTCATTTTTATTTTGTGAACTTAAAGACAAATTAAATCCATTAACAAAAACTTAAGTAACTTTCATTGTCTTACCTCAAATTGCAGTTGTTTATCATTTTTTACACGCATATAAACTCGAGTTCCATCTGTGCCAGTTACACTCATAAAGTTTGTGTTAGGGACACTAAAAGTTACTCGTTTCCGTTCAAAGTCATATTCTGAAGAGAAAAAAAAAAAAAAAGAAAATATATAAGTTTTCAATGTTTTTTTTATTTGCTACTTATTATGTAATATTAAACATAAGTTCAAATGTCACATAAAATTAAAGAAATTACATCACCTACACCTGAATAAATATAAGTTGCATAAAAACAGATCATATTGACATTCCAATTCCTATGATCCAATTATAAAATCCCTATGAACAAACTATAAAATCTATAAAATCCAATTCTAAAATTCATTTAATTAATTTACTAAGTTTAATCCATTTCTTGTAGCAGAAATTTGTCATTTGTAGTTGAGCCCCAAAATTACAACAACAGAAATAGCACAAGACTAAATTGAAGGAAATAAAAGTTATATCAATCTTCCAAGTTTGCCTACCTTGAAAATCATCATTTTAAATCCTGCCTCGGATTCAAATAATCCTCACCAGTGAGAAATATGTAATCAGGTCATATGTTTCAATTTATTATTGTATCTTACAACTAAAGACCCTCAAAGATACAATAATTTAAATCCCTTATGACAGAAATAAAGAAA